AATTTTGTATAAAGAGGAAGACTGTACAAAAAATTAGTATTTATATAATAGTTAAAATAGTATGAAATGTAGTATTTAGGCTAATTGATATTTTTTTTTTTGGCTAAAAACATGGGCTGATTAATTGTTCATAATCGAAGAAAGGAAATAAATAAACATCACACACGCATGCTCTCTCTGTGCATTTGTTTTCTCTATCTCTGACTATTTTAATGGGGTAGAGATTAATAAAATATAGATAGAAATATATAATACAAATACGGCTATGCCGATAGCCAGAAATAGGTTAGCAAAATGATCACTTATTAAGAATAGAGAGAACACCAAAGTACCCGCGAGAGCGAGACACGCACGATTAGTTGCTCCACATGTGTGTGTGTATGTTTGTGCATGTGTAATATACAGATCGATCGATTATCCGACGCTGTTATTGTTGTCTCTTATGTAAATCGCCTCATAAGAATTTTTATTTTATTTGATATTAGGTGATGTTATAGATGGTGTTCCGGTACTACTGCCACTTCCCGTGCTGCTCACTTGCTTTGCATAACCTAAAAATTGTATTTAATAAAAAGAAAAATTAAGAAATGAGCCAAAGAAAGATAAATTGAAGATAGGGAAATCAAGAATAAAAGGTAAAAATATAATGTTAAGAATTTTCTTTATGAGTATTATGTTTTAAATTATTATGACGATCAATGAATCGATGACTTAAGATATAATAATATGCTACGCGGACTACGTACGTAAGCCACACGCGTTACAAAGAGATTTAGGACCACCGGGTCCTTTGCGCCATTCGGGCGAGTCTTTACGTTGGCAATGAGCACATACCTTATTTGAAGATGATGCACTTCTCTTCTTCTATTTGAATGAAGAGGTTGATTATAATAATAACGTTGACAATAGTAAATAAACATAAAACGGAGAGCATAAATGCAAAATTATTAGAGTTTTGAACTTGAAACATGTCTGTCAAATACGATCAAACATAAGATTCACGCAATGAAGATGATTACGACAAGCCTACGTACCCGCTTCTTCTTAGAATGCTTGATTGCCTCGAGTTCCTCGCGAAGCTTCTTATTTGTTAATCGCATTTGATGTAGTTCATATTGCCAGCTGGTACTCCGTGTTGTATCTAGCTCTTCAAAGATATTATCGGTATCGGCGTGTTCAATCGAAAGCTTACGAAGATGTATCGAATGAGTTGGTGTTGATCCACCAGATGAACTCGAAAATGTCGATGAGCCGTCCGGTGAGCCTGATGATGTGAGCGGTGACGAACTTTGATGAATTGGTGTGCTGGCGGTGGATGATGAACGACGTCGAAGTTCTTGTTGTATTTCTTTTGACTGACATATAATAAATGATGGTTTCTGATTTGCTCCAGAATCACCTGGAAAAAAAGTCGACACTACTTCGACATATTGTCCATTCTTTTTGTGAATAGTGTGATTCAGATTCACTGATATTCCTATACTTGCTCGACTTAGTGCTCTCGTTATCTCCGTGGTGCGATCTGACTTAACCAGATGGTATAATGAAGTTCCCACTAGTTCGTCAGGAGTATAGCCCAGCGTAGATTGACAGGCTGATGAAGCATATAGATATAATCCATCCAGAGAAAGTTTCGCCCAAAATTGATTGTCACAAATTCCTCCAGCTACTTGCAAATCTTTCCACGTTAACTTATAGACCAGCCGTTCACGAGCAGATAATATCACACATTTACGACCTTTTCCTTGCTCCAAATGTAATTTTCCATGTGCTTCAAGCCACATATATCCAGTATTCTTTCGTCGAATACGATATACTAAATTCACCGCCTCGACACCATTTGAGGATTCTTTTAACTCACGCATCACTGGTACAATGTCCGATGGATGACATATCGTCGATAAACTCTTTCCCACTAATTCATCCGGCTCATATTCTAACATTCTTCTTGAACTTGGCGAGCAATAGAGAAATATTCCTTTCAATGAAAGTACATGAATGAAATCGTCTGAATGCTCAAGCAGCATCTTATTCCATAATCGTTTGCTCATTTCCGTATCTCCATTACCACCAATCAAGTCGAATACTTCTGGGGATGCAGGGAATGGCATAGCACCACTTGATATCTCGCGAAGGTAATCATCAACTACTACTGGTCCAGCATATGATGGGTTTGGTGGAATATATGTCGGTAGATTCATTAGCTGATAATTAACTACATATGTTCCATCCTTCATTTTTTCTAGGATTGCATTTGGTTGCTCAACTAAATCCTATTAAGCCATATTAAGTAATGAGAATTCATCCAATTATTTGATGTAAAATAAAACCAATTTTCATTCAAACGTACCACTTGAAAGCCTACAAAATATGCAATTTCTTCGCTATCCCAAGTTATCGGTATGACGGTCACTAAATTAATAAAAGGCTAAATCGAAAAAAAATCATTATGTAAATATATTCTATGAACGAATTAAAATTAACGAACAAATACATCAAGAAATCTTAAACGCACCTGACCACCCTTTCTATAATTTATAATAGAAGCTTGACATTCTTTACCAGATACCATATGGCTTTTTATATGATAGACAGCATTGTTATCGGTATAACGGCGACGTGAACCAAGAGCCACATGTCCATCAGGAGCTTGCAAAAACCGACAATTTCGACCAATTATTTCCGAATTACTGTACCCTGTGAGTTTTTCAAAAGTGTGGCTCGCATAAACTATTGGAAAATCGTATTTTCGGGCGTCGACTGAAAAAAAAAGAGTAACCCTCAAGATTAATAAAATTTATCACCAAAAAATTTGCTGAATATATTCCTTTTTCCTTACCAACTAAAAATGAACAACTCATATCCACAGGACCAATATTTATTTGTGGATTTGGTCTAATAAGTATGCCAGCATTAAATAGAAAACAAGAGGTTACTAATTAGGCGTTTAATATGATGCATGTGTCTATCAAGCATTTTTATGATTGTTTAAGAAAATTTAATTACCTTGATGCTACTCGTGCCTAATAATGATCGATATAAAATAGGCATTAGTAAATTGGTTAATTTGAAATTCTGAGAATATAATAGAGACGAAATACCGACCAATACGCCTAGCATATCAAACCCGGTACTTGAATATAAACCAGGGAAATTCGATACTCCATGACCTAAACCACCTATAGACATTGATGACGAACACAAGCATATATATGTATATGTAAAAAAAAAAGATTTACTTAAAAATATTCAACAAAACAATCTAACATTTTGATCCTAATTAAATTACCAGGCTGCCCTGGGAGTGAACTAATAGGTCCTAGCATTGGTGGTATCATTGGATTTATACCGCCAGTTGATGGCCCAGGTATGTTTGATCCATCCACGCCATCTCCACCAACTCCTCCAGCTCCTGCTGCCATGTTAGCAAGTCCACCACCTATAACACTACCTAGGCTAAACAAAGGATCCATTGAAGTAGATATATTTGCAATGTCATAAGGTGAGGGTTGCAAAGACGGTTGCGCTTCGACTTGTTTACCTAATAGGTTTGAAGATTGCTGAGTTGAAGACTCTGAGCTATTATCTCTTCTTCATTGAAGGACAATGCATGATGCAAAAAACAAATGAGAACTCGATGAATTTATCGAATATTTTATAAAACATTTAAAAGGGATCTCCATGACTTACAGTCCTCCACTGAACACTGAAGGCGCATTATAGTTTATCGGAGCAGAGGTGGAAAAAGCAGCGGTCGGTAAGGTAGCAGTTGGTAAAGCAGCGTTCGGTAAAGTACCAGCTGGCAAAGCAGCAGTCGGTAAAGCAGCGGTTGGTAGAGCAGCTACAGGTGTGTTCGAGGCTAAGTAACTTTCCACTTCTTGCTGTTGAGGTTGGCGGTTATTATTTTGCGGAGGTAGAAGACTATTATAATACTCTTCTTGCTGTTGATAATTCATTTTTTTCGCAACACGTTTTTATAATACAGGATCTAAACATCCAAGCGAAGTTTTTCTTCTCTTAAAAATTATTGGTAATAGTATTATTAGTAGTGAAAATAATAAGCCGTAGAGTAAGTAATAGTTGTTAGTTTTTCTTACCCCGTAGTTTTTTTTCTCGGGTAGTTAACAACAAATAATAAGAGTGTCTATTTTAGTATTTGTAATACAAAACCCGAAAGAAAAAATTCCAGAATTTCTGCGTTTAAAGAGAGAACGAAAAAAAAGGTTTGTTTAACGTATTTTTTTATTAGTCGTAAAAAAATTTGTGGGAAATATTGAAAAATGAGGTGGAGGGTATATCAATATCGATATTAAAAAAATGGTGTGTTTTATGTAAATGAATATAATTCAATGGGTGCTGATTTGTTGATTGTGCTGATTTTTTTCGGAATAGCATATACTGTACACATTAAATCATCACTTACATAAGAAACTTATGCGGGATTTTTTTTTTGAGGAGGGGGTTGATTTTTATAATGAGCAAAAGGATATCATTTTAAAATAATAAAAATCAACCAAATAAACTTACCTTTAGGAAATACAAATTGCACAAATAATAATCAACAATAGCAACTATATCTCACACAATCTACGTATACATGCGTGTGTGTATGGATGTGTGCTGTGAAATTTACGGGCAATCATGTATGAAAAAAATCACGATTTTCCTATAAATTGACACTGAATTGAATTAAACTATGCGAGAATTTACACCTATCAAGTTTCAATATGCATTAATATAATCAGAAAAAGGAAGGTCTCTTTATTGAACTTTGCTAATAAGACGCATACAGGATTGATATTTGTATGCGGTGAACCAGTTCTTGAATGTTCTACTTGTTTCTTTGCTTTATTATTAATTGAAAAGATAGAATTCATTAGTCCAATCTTTAAAGTTTCCGAGTAACAAGCAAAAGATCAATGGAATTAAGCTGTCAAAGATTGAAGATCGTTTACCTAAAATAATTGCATGTATTACTAATGCTATAAAAAGAAATAACCTACATCTTATGTGCTTGTGTACATGACCAAGATTGTGGCAATCTCTGATTCCTATAAAAATATCGATTCTACCGATGTAAAAAAAATCGTATTCTGTACAAATTCTCTTTTTTTTCCATTGTGAGACACGAGGTTTGTCATTTCCCCATCCTTTTTCGGGGATGTGCAATCATCAAATTTATGGGGCAAAAAAAATCTCGCATTTTAAAAATTTTTTTTTTGCATGTGACTTGATTAAAATTAATCCCGATTTTAATAATCAAAGCGTTTTTGGTCATCTGAGTAAAACTTTATCCATGCGCTTTTATGTTCATAAAAAAATCTTTGATGCATAAAAAAATCCCAAATTCGTAATTACCTGAATCTCTAAATCTATTCGAGTGTTATTCAGATGTTTGACCGGAATGTTTAGACCTCAAATGTCTTTGTAAATCATAATTTCGCTTAAACAGAAACATGCAGTCTTCAAAGGTGCAACGTATTTTTCTTCCAGAATTATCATAATTACCACCGGTGAACAATTCTGTGACAGATGCTTCTTTGATGGAATCGTTGATTTTACGTCTCTTCTTTTCAGGTTGCTTTTATGAAAAAATCAATCTCATAAAATAAGGACGGTAATCCTTTGTATAAAAAAATTTGTGCATAACTATACGTACCTCATGTCTCTTTGTTTTGTGCTTTTGCAGCTCTTGCTTGCTTGTGAATTTCTGCTCACATTCTGGCCAATCACATTCAAATCGTTGGATATGTAAATGCCTGCGCTTTACATGATCATTCAAATTCTTCTTCTGTAATTTTTTTGACGCGAATAACGTAATTGGATATTTGTGTCTTCAATATACGGGATGTTAAAAATTCTTTGACACATCTAATTCAATAGATACACACATACACTGTGAAAATATCCGTCACACCCTTCCCATTCACAAGGAAATAAAAGTCGATTGGGATCGTGGACGCGCATATGGTTACGTAAACCTCTTGGCTGCGTGAAATTCTTTGAGCATATGCTACAGGTTTTTATGGGTTCATGATCATTTCGAAGATGAGCTTGAAGCTCTGGAAGCTTGATAAATTCGAGCTCACAACTTTCATATGCACATCGATAACGAGGGACAACTAGAGGGTGTGCAATTGATCTTTTTAAAGATAAAACTATAATTCTCATACAAACTCTTTGTATAGCAAGAATCTAATTACCATTATGGGAGGATCTTTGATGCTGAGTGAGATGTTGTTTCTTATTATAACTTTTATTGCAACCAGGATGCTCACATAGAAATGGCTTTTTCCCGGTATGCATTGTTATGTGTTCTCGAAGTTGATTTGGCTTCACGAAAGCTTCAGAACATAATTCGAATGTACACTTTTAAAACCAAAAAAACTATTAAAGCAAGAGACATAAGAGAAAGCATATAAGAAATATGAATTTTCTTATGTTCAACCTTAAAAGGTTTCCCGTACTCGTGAGTTTTGATATGTCTATCAAGACTATGTTGATATTGATAAGCTTTTTCGCATCCATCGAAAGGACATTTTATCGGTCTCGGATCCTGGCTATGCTTTATAGCATGCACTTTTAGATTATGCGGTCGACGATAAGTTTTACCACATCCCGGTTCTGGACACTCATATGGTCGCTAAATCCGTTCCAGTGGTTTGTTATGAGATCAATTGGTAAAGATCCGTGATATTTACGATAAAAGTTACCTCTCCCGTGTGGACCATTAGATGATATTCTAATCGAATGGGTTTCGAATAAGCTGCATCACAACCTTCAAAAAAACATTTGTAGGGTTTCTTGGTATTCTTTACCAATTCGCCATTGATTAATTTAACTTGAGAATGGATCTCTTTTTGTGTGCTTGAAAATGTTACAGAGGGATTAGTTTCAAAGTCTTTGCGACCATCGTCTTCAGAAGTAAAAACCTCAATTTCACTAGAGTCTGCGGAAGCTGTTTCCGACTCTATATAAGAGCTTTCGTCTCCAGAAAGAGCCTTTCTTTTCGTCATGCAAATAAAAAAAAACTGAGCTGTCAAAAAAATTTTCGGCGTGATGTAGAAATTTATACAAATTCATTCATCAGTATCACGTTTCATACAAATCGTCATTATTCCCCATTAATTTTTCACAAACTCCTCCTCGAGCAACTCTCTCATTTTCTCCTTTTACAATAAAATGTCTTTAAAAGCCATAGCACTCTACGACTGCGAAGCCGATGATGACGCAGAACTGTCTTTTAAGAAAGGAGATATCTTTACTAACGGTAAGAATACCTAAATCATAATCTTTCCGATTGACGCGCCGCATGTGTGAAATCCAATCGTTTCTTCTATCTACTCTTTTTACTTAGTAAGTATATTTTGCAACTAGTGGTTGATGCTAGTGATGAAGGGTGGATCGAAGCTACAAAAGAAGGGACAAACGAGCGTGGTTTCGTGCCGAAAGACTATGTTGAAATAAAAGAACAAGTATGTAATGCTCATCTTTATGATATTCTCTTAGGAGAATAGCAAAAAATAATCTCATCATTTTGATGAATTATTTGATTGCTGAGGTTAAATTGTGCTTACCATTACGAGAAGCATTGGGTAATTGATTCTTATTGCCGTGAGCAAATCATAGAATCCATTTTGTTTCTCTGATCGATAACGAAATTATATTTATTTTTCGGGTCTTTATTTAATAAAATAATGTTTATCTAGCCAAAACCTCCACCACGACCGTTTCGAAAAAACACGAACATAAATAATGGCGTTAAAATATCGTCCAACGCAAGTCCGCCCGCACCGCCAAAGGTAGAAATACCAAATGGTAGTACAGGTAATTTTTCGGTGGATTAAATCTCTATTCGTTATATATTGTATTTTGACTTTTTCTTATCGAAAAAAAAATTAGTTAATTCAGAACGCCCACCTCTAATTAGCAGCAAACCAAAAAAATTACCTACTGGTGCATTAGCTTTATTTGAAGGAAATGGAAGCAACATCAACAGTAACAACTCTACAGTTTCTAGTCGATCGCTAAATAAACCCGCACCCCCGCCTAAGCCAAAAGTTTTCCCGATAATGAATAATCTTCAAGAGAGCGAAAATGAAGCTGAGATTGTGCTTCCTTCTGTTAGTGAACGAAAGAAGGCATTAGAACAGAAAGTTAATACGAGCACTTCAAAACCTTCAATTTTTAAAGAACTTTCCTCTGAAAAATCCGAAACTAAAATTGGTTTTTCACAAAGGCCATCAGATATCAAAAATCAAATAGAATCGCAAGATGAAGATGCGGAACCTCAACTGTTGCGTCCATCTGCTTTAAAAGAGAAACAAAAACCGGCAATACCCGCAAAACCATCAATATCCTCAAAACCCGCAATACCCTCAAAACCTATCATCACACCACCAATACTTGGAATTAAACCTTCCCTAAATAAAACGAATCCGACTGTACCTGCTCGAAATGGAAAAAGTCATACTCAAACTTCAGATTCAGATGATGAAGTAACATCTTCAAGATCAAATTCTTTATTCCCGAAATCAGAAACACAAAATAAGCGACCGCCTCTTCCTCCAAGAAAACTCTCAGATACGAGTGAATCCTCAGAGAAAATAACTATCCCACCAAAGATGCCGCCAAGGCCTTCCACTGTATCAGAGAAAACAACAGAGTCTGTTGTTCTGGTGAGTGAGTCTTTGCTTGTTGATTTAATATTCTTTTTAATCTAGCATATTAAATTTTAACTTTACATAATATTTTAATTAAAGTACCAATCCAAATTTAATAATAGACTTGAGGAAGCAGAAACGGGTGCTAAATCAAAAGTACAAGATCAAGCCGCGATAGGAGCAAGAAAAGGTGTTTCTGCCGGGTTCCAAGAAGGACAAAGTACGCACTACCATTTTATATATTTATTTATTTATTTATTTATTTGCCATTTCAAATTCTTATAATGATTTTTTTAATGTATAGACAAGCTAACTCAGAGATTTGGTAGAAAATTACCAGGTCAAGATAAAATATTTAACAAAGCTGAAAGTCTCGCGCAGGCTGAAGCGGATAAACAAGCACGTGTAGCTGCTGGTGATGCATTTGATGAAAACATGGAAAATGCGAAATCAAATGTAAAATCAAATGCAAAGTCAAAATACGAATCTTCTGAGCTGAAAAGCAATGGTTCTATTAGAGGATTTTCAACCCCAAAACTTCCCAATAGTGTAAAAGGATTTAAAATCACTACATCCGAATCAGAAAGTACCTCTTCATCTGCACCACCCCCATTACCTGCTCGGAAAAAAAACCAACTTATCAAAGAGCAACGGAGATAACTCTCCTCAGATTCCTCCAAGACCTCCACAACAT